TTTCTCTTACATTGCAACACCAGCGAACAGTTTAAAACAACATTACTATATGTGATATCAGATTTCTAGCGCTTCAACTTGATTACTCCTAAAATATGGGCGTGTAACAGAAACTAGCTAGGCGTGCAGGTTGTCATCCCGTGTGTATGTGCGTGCACGCATATCTTGTGTTGGTGTGTGTGAAAGTTTTAGGGCCTGTCTAAACATCCACCACTACCTGGCAGGAAAAACAGGAACAGGACTTGTCACGAGCCAATTGCACAACGTTGGTGGGGATTCACACAAAAAAGATCTGGAACTACTCCCTGTTCTGTAAGCTTGTAAGCTGAAACCTAAAGGGCAGGCAGCACTCTTGGTATCTCAGACTGTGTGATTTCCAAGTTAAACACTATCCATCTTTATGAATGCAACTTTGCTTTACTGTTCAGTCAGTGTTGACATGCAAGTGTAACTAAATACCTTTTTTCCTGTTTGCTAATAAGAAATTAAACTGATTTAGCCCAGCCACAGATGATTAATATACTCTTATTTATTCACAACATACTAAGGTTGCTCTTGATATACTGTATGCTGGCTTTCTACAGTACTAGTATAAGGTGTGCTTTGTTTTAATCTGAAGTTGTCTGTATGTAGGGTGGATACCAGTAGTTTCCAGTGCTTTTGCAACTCTGTGCAGCTTTTATTGTCTAACAGGATTTGCAGAAGAAGTTTCACGGGGAGTGGAACCTGGCAGAGGAAGTCTTGCAGTCACAAAGCTTTATTCAGCTATCTGTCCTGAGAAGAAGACAAAAAAAAGGGGCTATAGCTGCACAATACCTAACACTCACATATCAAGCCAGTATCAACAGCAGGTTCCACAAACCAACAATGACTGCCATGACTTACAAATCATACAGTGTTCTATACTTTATTTATGCGGCAGCTACAAAATACTACTCTGTTGTATTTTCTGGGAGAAAACACATTTAGCCCTTTGAAATCTAACAGCTAAAATGGCTTGTTGATTAGACAGCTCATCATAGAGTGACGAGTGTGTACTTCATCTGCAGATTGGCACGATTTCAGGTTCATGTGTCATCATTTTCCTTGACCACTGAAAACCACGACACTGACTCAAACCTTGAAAGTGACTAAAAGGTTAATTTTCAACATGTCAGACTCTAAGAAATGTCATAGTACGGTAAGCACCGTCATAGTCAATGACAGATTAGTTATACTTAGTAATAAAAAGAAAATAGTAAGTAATAGTGATGAATAACTGTGATGACTACCAAGCACCATGAAAATGTAGTATATTTTGATATACGACGTTTAGAAATATTGTGTTTTTTGTGATATTGTAATAATTACTGACTCAAAATGATGGCAATAATCTATTTTTCAAATAAACTTTTTTTTCCTTTGCTTTCGGCATGGAATGGGTGAATACGTTTTTCCTTTTTTTTTGTTTTTTTGTTTTTCTTTTTTTGCAACAGTACCACAAAGAGGGCAGGTGTATCACTCCTATGCTGAAAGTATGACTCAAACAGAGATATCATCTAGATGGGAACAAACAATCAACTGACAGGCAGAAAACTGGAGGAATCTGAACATGAAAAGATACAGTTTGGGGTCTGTTCAGGCTTTGCACTTCTCAGTTTTGCGACCGCCTTCACGCAGCTTTGATTTAGTATGTGTTTGCTGTGTGAATATGTGTGAGGGTGTCTGTGTGCAATATACCGATTAAAGAAGTAAGGGGGTGAGGAAGACTGCTCTGACATTTGAGGCTTCAACAGGCTCTAGTAACCACCTGTTCACAGACAAAGAGTGGAGTGGAACAAACAGTCATTACATTGCAAATGAAGGCAAGCCTCTGTGGCTGTACAGTAAGGATTTAGGAGGGTTGGCTGCGCACTTCATTTTTAGAAATTATTCCTTACCATGATAAAAGATACAGCAGACAGTTTACATTGTGGTTTTCCATTTCCTCAAATAGGCTCATCAGTGTTGTGTTATTGAAGCTGTTAAATGCTGATTTTTGTATTGCTATTTTTTGTGTTGCAAATATATATTTTTTAGCAATAATATGAATTTGGCGCTTGGTTAAAGTTCTAAAGTTTCAAGTACAAAAAAAAAATCACGTTACATTTATTTATTCAATTATTTTAAAAGATATATTACTACTTGGTGTTTAAGATGTTTTTGAGTTTATATAGAATTAAAATCAGTGATGAATGTCAGCATTTTATAGTCTGGGGCTTATTTATCTCTTTGTTTTTATTATTCATGGTTATGAAATTGGCCTTTTATAAGAATTAAACTGCACATTCAGTACACATAAAATCAATATATTTCACATATACTTTATTTTTTTATACTAGAAAGCAGATTTTGAAGTAGAGATACAGACATCGCTAAGAAAATTCTTTCTTCATATTCGGTACACTGTTCTATAGAATTAAAGCTATCGCCAAAGAACATGACTTTGGCTGATAAGATCATTCAAACACAACATAGTCTCAACATAGTCCCAGTGTCACCAATTCAACTGTCACCTGATGATCATTTGGTCTTTTGTGCGTTTTGATTTCAACTGTGAAAAACATTAGAATACCTTTACATATAACCAACATTGCAGGTGTAAGATAAACAATTCAAATTCAAACAATAAGAAAAGTGTGGAAGTTGAATAGTTTTCTAGGGATGTTTTCTGACCTTTAGGCTCTTTAATGTTGCATCAACAGATTTCAACATTCAATTTTTATCTTGCAATAAAGAATTTTATTTGCAAGTAAGGTACAGTTTGCATGTTTTGCAGAAAACAACACAGTATTATGTTTGTCTTCCTGTTTAAAAATGAATGAAATAGGCAAAGCAGTAAAACCATGTATAGAGAAGAGAGAAAGTCATGCCTTAAAATATACATTGAATTCTTCACAGCAGTGTGCCTTCATGTATGGTCACTGTTGAAAAAAGGGGCTTGAGAATACTCCAACTTCCTTCACCATATTCAGTGTTAAACTATTTTAAGTCAAGAGAAATGATCATAGAAATTAAATTCAATATGCATCTTTTTTTCATAAATAAATCACATATTTTAAGACTTAAAAATACACATCCTATGTAAATACCTGAGAGCCCTCATATCAGAAAGTTGGTATCGATATCAAAGTTGTTCAATCAGCACACATATATGGATAAATGTTCATTTTCAGTGCCAAAATATACACTGTTTGTATACTGTTTCTTAAAAAATACAATGCACCCGGAACCCTGCCTTTTACATTTTTTGTAAACATTTTTAAATAAAAAAAACCACACAAAATTCACAAAACTATTTGTAACATTTCAGCAGAAAAATAGACATTTACCACACTGTACAAAAACATTCCCCCCGATCTGTAACAATAGCAATAATCGTTCAAGTAAAGTCCTCACTCACTAGGAAAGCTGACAGAAGACACTTTTTTTGTTATGGTTTGTTTTTTTGTTTGTTTGTTTATATGGCTGCTTCAGTAAAGGAAAAAGAGTAAGTCAAGAATCTGTCAACAGATAAGTAAATAGTTGGAACTGTGATATACCTGTACCCCAAAGGATGTTACTAAATATAACCTGGAGAGTAAGTAACTAAAGAGTAACTAAAAAAACAAAAATAAAACAACAACAACAACAAAAAACCCTGTAATATATTATCCTACATTTAGTTTCAGCTCTGTTCTGTCCTGGGATAAGGAGAGAAAACCAAGGTATCCTTAACACAGATTTTATCACAGGATAAATAAACTGACTCCTTTTATTCTTTTTTCTTTTTTTAGAAAAAAAATAGGAATAATATGACAGAGGAATGTACAGAGTCAATATCACAGCTGCAAGATGTAAACAATTTCTAGTGCCAAAACTTTACAAATAGTAAGGTTTTATGCAAGCTGGGCACCATTTGCGCATGAAAAGAAGCAACATGTAAACAGAGAAAAAGCTGCCTTTTGATTACGAGTAGATACTGAACAAAAAGAAAAGTTCACTGAGTTTAGCCTTAGAGCATAATAGCCTGCTCATAATGTTAGACAGTACATGTTTAAAACTCATAATGCCAACGGTTTTGTGAGTCCATTAAAAAAAGTACATGTTCATCAGGCAGCAGAGCAAAAACCGACACAGTCCTAATTTCCAGTGTCCTGCTCAAGATTTTTCCCTCAAACAAAAGTCTAACTTTTGTTCTGACAATGATCGTTTGAAACAGTCACAACACTTAAAAATTAAAACTAGAAAACATTTGACATTTCTGCTTTAAAGAGACATAAAGTGCATGACCAACTGTACCAAGCACAGTCTTATCGGAGTCCTTTCACAGCAGAGACAGTAACTTTGAAAGAACTGGCTTTGACAATGTACTGCTAAATGATGGACAAGTGAGTTCGGAGGTTGTAATACTCCTACTCTATAGATTTGGGATGCTACAACTATCAGAAGAGCCTTCAGAGTAGTAGTACGTGGTACGCTTCTTTAACTCCGCCTCCTGCTCATGCTGTCTCTTTCGTGGTCCCCTTTGTAAAAGGTCATACATGAATTTGGTGACATTATGGCGATGCAAAGAGTAACATTCAGAGAATGAGGAAGAGGAACAGACATTAGTGTGTATCTGTGTGGGAGATGGGGCTTATGAGGAGCGGAGAAGGGGCAGCCTTAAACAAACAAGATCAGGTCGATAATACCATATTATCACATGACAATTTTAGGAATTTAGCCTTAGAAAAAAATACACTTCCCCATATTAGTCATGTCTACAAACAGGATGAAAGAATATATTACACACGCACAGACAGACAGACCATCCCAATTAATTCAAAAAGTGGATTAGATCAAAAGGAAAGGCATACAGTAAAGCACAAAGTGAGGTACAATAGAGAACATCCAGTGCTGTCACTTTGGTATCCACTGCCATAAAGAATCATACTGCAGCCAGGTAGTTAAATGACTTCAAGATTGTTAAGGGCTTCTATACCACCATCATGCTTTTTTTGTCCATGTGGACAACATTTCTGACAGTTGTTTTTTTTTATACTCAAAGTTTAAGAATATAGCAGTGCACTCAAACTGTAAGCAACACAATGTCTGAGTCAACAGGACACAGTAGTATTCCGCAGAAGTACAAAGGAAATTAAAAAGGTATTTGGACATCTTACCCTGAAAGGTTAGAGAAAGAAAACAATTGAAAAAAGACGCCCTCAACTGAACTTTTAAAAGTCACAGATACAACAAGAATGACTAGGCAACAGTTTTTATGTTTAACTTTCAGAGTGATTTTTCTTATGTCCTTTTGCATTTAAATGGTGACTGATTATAACAGAGAAAAATATGTCTCAATATAAGCAACAATTTCAGTTTCATGAACTATAAATAGGATCATTTCAAAATGTAAGACAAACTGAAATTTGTCTTAGATAAATATTTGAGATAATTCATTGTGTTTCCAGTGCTCTGTTAAGCAACCTCAAGAACACATTAGACATTGTGCTTTTCAACATGTTTTTCTCTTAAACAGAGGAGAACACTTTTTTTTCCCCAATCAAGATATTTCAACTATGTTTACCAGCTTAAACACTGCCCTAAAGTCATTTTCATATGTTGCTTTAGATAGTCTCTTTTTTATTTGGCAGGATTTTAAAATTACAAAATAGACAAGCCACCAACAGGAAGTTGGTGGTTTTCTTTATCTGCGCTAATGGTTCACAAATGCTTTACAAGCCCCTGAGAGATGGAAAAACATGGGTGGTATGATATGGTAAGCTAAAACATGCACCATTTGCAGAGAGTTAAAGTAACATAATACAATAATAATGCCTTCAATATTTTCAACTGCTCATTATCAGATAGGCAGATAGCAATAGCTAAAAGACTCTCCTGAGCTTTTGCACAGGAAATCACATTGTTTATCATTGTTTATAATGATATGCAAGACAATTTACTCTGAATTACAAAATGTGATAAGGTGGTGTATATATTTATGGGGGCTAATAGCATTTTCTAAATCTAGGCAGCAATGCACTTGCATACCCACTGAGAATAGAACCAGAATGCATTCAGTATATTTACTAACATCTGATAGCATCAATGATCAAATTTTTATAAGTACAATAATGAATAAGTGCTACTATTTTGTCAAACATAGTGATTTTTTTCAGTGACATTATACACCACCTGCAGCCTTGACGTTTGTCTAGTAATCTGAAACTGATTTTTATCAACCACACTGAGCCCACAGGGCAGAAACAAGTTCTAATATACCATCTATATGCATGCATTATGTCTTCAGAATGAAAACGGTTAAAAGCATGATGAGAGGGAAAACACAAAAGAATATACTTCAGAATAGACTAAAATGAAAAAAAGAAAAACACTTGTCAATGCCCTTTGACAGCTGCTCTAATATAGAATCTAGTAAGATTTTGAGAAAAAAAAAAGTCCTTCCTTTACATTAATCGCAATTAAATAGTACAAAATGTGTCTTTGGCCCATACCTTCATGTGATTGTTAAACTGTTCAGATTCGCAATAAGTAGCTTAAAAAGAAAGTCTGTGATTGTGCTACACTTGTCTACAATGCCATTCAACAATGCAGTCTCAGAGGAGATAAGGACGGATATCAGGGTATTGCTCCTTTCACTTCTTTGTCTATCCCTCAATTTTCTACCCATCCTCTTACTGGAAGGTGTGTTCACCCCGTACTATGTGAGAGGAGAACTCATAGCGGTCCTTGCTCCGGTGACCACAGATGTTGCACTCCAGTGGATCTCTGTATCCGTGGCAACCCATGTGGATGGTGTACATGACATGGTCCAGGAAGAGCACTCGACAGTGCTCACACTGGAAGGCCCTTAATTCCTGGCCCTCCCGTCCAAACACCCGTATCCCTTCCTGGCTCACAGGCCTCTCTGTTGCCAGTCGCATTATCCCAACCCCGAATCCTGCCCCACTTCTAGGTGATGCATCTCTCATCCGCTCACCTGAAAAGACCACTGCTGGACTGCCACGAGACCTGAGGCCCACGGGGGCATTGCTGCCATGGTATCCCTGCCTTTCCTGAGGGCTGCTGCGAGCTGAGTCAGCAGATTCAACACCACTGTTGCTGGGTGACTCCTCTTGCCCTTGTTGGGGATGCTTACCTGGCCTTGTTAAACCAGTGGGGCCATTTGAGGTGGGATGACTGGGGAACTCATGGGGCTGAGGCGGCTGTGTTGGTAGTGTGTCACAGTTTCCTGAACGTTCTGTTCGTTGGCTCAGTGGCAGGACATGGGGGAAGAGTGGGTTCACAATAGGCACCACCTCAGCCATAGAAAGTGGAGGACCTGGATGTTGGAGCATGGGGCGTAGGGTGTCTGATCCCAGGTATGTGATGGCATTGTTGATAGCCTGGTCCATCATGTGGGGTGGCATCATTTCAGACTGCTTCTCATACTTAACAGCCATGTCATAGCTCATATCAGGATAGCTATAGCGAGGCATCTTTTCACCTGTAAACAGCAGAGTAGTTCATGACTGCATGTAAATAATGATGATGGCAATTTCTTGTTAAAATAAGATATATATATAGATGCAGCAGCATAAGTGGCAAAAATACTCTTATTTTTATCTTCAGTCAAGAAGGAAAATTAATATGTACAAATGCAAATACTGATTGTAATTTCCATTCTAGACAGTGAATGTTATGGCTTGGTGATATTTTGATCTTGTTTTTCACATTTTGTGCATGATGTTTGAGTCTAATGAGTGGAAAGCCCCATCCATCTACGACTGCAGTGTTTAACCCCTCGAGAACAGGGATGCGGTAAGCTGTTTTCTCTCGATAAGAGCAATGGCAAAGTTACAGGTGTACGTAACCACAGAGTGAAAAAAACACTTCCTTGCCTCTCAGTCAGCTTGCTCTAGTTGCTCAATCTCATCTTCTAATAGTGTGGCAAATTAAAAAAAAACAGTAGGCCAAAGCTATTGTGTGACATTATATAATACTATATAATGCAAAACTATGGAACAAGGGGAAGACAAATCAAACTAAGTAAGCTCAAAAAATAAAATCGGGTAAGCTGATAAAAACAATAGCATGTTATTAATGCTCAAGTAAAATCATTTGCAAGACTCCTATAAACCAATTAAATTAATCAATTCATTGTTGAACAATAATATATTTATATGATAACAACAGCATATAGGCATGCTTTGAGTCGTAAAAAAGATCACTGCATGCAGAACATAATACAACAAATTATTTCAGTTGGTACTTCAACTGCTAAACCCCAACCTCCTCCCCCCCCCCCCCCCCCACCCCACTCGTCTGAATAAAACATCATATGAAACATTTGTTTTTTATCTTCGTGGTAATTAGAGTAGTCGATTTGCTGACTATGTCTGAAATGCATGTATGACTCACCCACAAATTTCTGAGGTGTGGTGCTCTTCCTCTTGCCTACATTGCTATGCAGTCTTTCAATAACAGGTGGCCGATCAAAGGTGGCCATGGTGGGCTCTGGCATGGGCCTTGGCTCTTTTGGAACGTCACCTTAAAAGGAGTGAACAGGTGATAAGAAGGAGCACGAATACAGCTGGGTGTTTAAAAGGAAAAATAAATGAAGAAATGATCGTGTTTAGAATAAAAGTAAGATGAATTTTGCTTAGGGCAAGTGCAGCTTTATATTATTATTATTTGCAAAATAAATAACTTATCTGAGTATTTTGTAAGTATACTCAGATAGCAAAAGTTGTGCAAAATAATATATCAGTCATTAGTGCTTAATGGTAAGGATTATTTCCAGTTCATTCAAGAATTAACTTTACTGTATTATATGTACGTTTACTGGTTTCAATTCTAGTGAATTTATTTTTACCTGTGTAAGGCCCACTGTTGACATTAGGATCCAAGCCGATACCCTGCAGGTAACCATGGCAACGCTCTTTATGTTCCTCTAAAGATGTCCGCTGTTTGTAACTCCGCCCACAGTAGTTACACTTGTGCGGTTTGCCGACTAAAAGCAAAAAGATTCAGTCTATTAATTTCATTCATCGCTGTAGACAGAGAGTGGGCAGTATCCAGTGCCGCAGTATTCAGGTGGTGCGTAGTAGTACACACTGTGAACAGTAAGTAGTACAAACAAACCAAAACCAAGCTTCTGAGATCATGGAGGTTCCACTACTAGTGTGATTCCACACAACTATTGCCAGACAGAAACACAAGTTGTGGGCGACCAAGACTGTTGCGCCATAAAGTCTGCATTTCAAAACGCTTTGGTCTGTGCAGCAAACTCCCACTGCAGAGGCATAGCATGAGTAAATAATGGAATTGATCATGCATCCCATTGTGGCGGTAGGAAACTAACTCCAGGTTAAACTGCTATGGAGGTGGAGTGTGATTCATTGTTCTATTTAATTAGATTCCTTCCTACGAAGAAAAGTGAAAATATAAAGACTCATTCTTTACATCTGTCTTAGTCCACTCATTTCCTTTCATACGTCACGTTTGCTTCAACAAGCATTCAACACACCAATGAATTATTGGAGGTGATTTCTGTTGTTTAAAGAAGTTCTTGTACACCATCCGGGCAGTTAGTTATCAGCTTACTTGTGATCAACATGAGCTGTTTCCATACTGACATGTAAGTTGAGTCAAAAATGGTTAAAAAAAATAATAATTGCAACATGCTTCAACAAGCGAAATCCCAGACACTGCAGAGGGAAAGATCTGAGTCCTGCGTCAGAGTATTCTCAAAATTAGAATGACTCATGAAGTGAACTGAAGACCACAACAGCTAACCAATATGACAAACATGGCACCTTTAGCCAAGTGATGTAGACTCATGGTGACAGTATTACTAGAAGAAGATGTGATCCAGTGCTCTTTTCACTGTGAGAACAGAGAAACCCAAAGCCTTTCACTTTGAGCATGGAGGTTGTAACACACATACGAGCAGTCACACAAACTACACACACATTTAGAGCTAGGTGACAGTTCACATGTTAACAGAAGTACTCTTTCTCACATAGAAAAGGCGAATGGAGTTATTAAAAAAAAGAAAAGTTTCCAAATGTTACGCTGTCTGTGCTGGACTTTTCCTTTTGATGATGTGAATGAAATAAAACCCACTTGTTACACAATAACATGACCAGTCATGGCCAATCTTACATTTCTTGTGTGAATCATTTAAAAGAATAATAGTTTTTTTCTGCCGTATATGTCATTCAGTACTTCTGTGGTCTGTGAATGACACTGTATGGGCTGAACTTGAAACTGGGGTTTATTATCTTTTTTTTCTGAGTATGAACAGTTACAAGAGTACTGCATAATGACAAAAGGTTTCAATATTATCAAAGTGTGGGTAGTGTGGAAGTGTGGTGTATATGCAGGGTCATCTCAGCAATATTCATTTTGGTAATGAAAGAGTTACTTCAAAATGAAACGTCATCATGGAAATAATTGCCTTTGCTTTCCAGCCGTGTGGTACTCTAACAGTGGAGTAGGCAGTATTCAGTCAACAAGACTCACTCCCTTGTTCTCAGTGGCTATACAGATTCTCACTCACACTACATAGGCTTCATTACTTTTTCATATTTATATAACCACCCACACACAATCTTGCACAGATGTTGAGTGGACACATTACAGGTGCTATTCTTATTCATGCAAACGGTCCACTGTGAATTCAGACCCACTTTATTGACGCCATCTGGATAATAAATAAAAACCTGTTTGAATTTAGACCTTAAATAATATAAAACCCTGTCACCTGATTTTCCTGCATTACTATTTTACCAATCAACTGTGCCTGAATGAAAAATGTCATCTTCCAGTATAAGGTTTAATCTAGCCTTTGTCTTCACTGTCTCTCACCGTAGTCTTCCGTTTTCATCATCTGACCTCTCTGTCAAAGCTTTGTATTTCTCTTTTCTTTCTACCTGTTCTTCCTGGCAGGGCACCAAACCACAAATGCCAGGATTCCAATAGTCGTATAATGAATAGTCCCCGAACACAGAGAGGGAGGGAGTCAAGATTACACACGTCGGTCAAATATCCAAATCGATGTTCGGAAGAGTCAAATTTAGAGTCTACGAAAGGACAAACAAATTCAGATCAACAGAAGTGTAACCAAGAAAATGGTAATGAAGGTAGGTGACAAATGTGACAAAAATAAATAAGATGTGTGTAAAGGAATCATGTAAGTAAGGGTTTCTAAGAGCAAAATTACACCTGCACGCACACGAAACTGTACATAAACACATGGGCATACACATAAGCACAAAAGTTATCTTTAACAAAGAGAACTATATATGAGTAAACCCTGCGGGGCATCACAGACAGAAATGACGGTATTGTCTGACCTTGATTTCAAAGGCGCAACAAAAGGGAGAGCACATCCTCATATAGGAAAGTGGGTTACAGTTGATACAGCCAGCACTCCCCATGTGTTTCTCAACAGACAGATAGTTTCCTCCTTAGCGACTAAGGAACAGCGTGTTTCTTGGTACCTAACCACAAAGCACTCACTGTGCCGTATATAACACGCAGATAAAAAGAAGACATAATCTATCTAAAAGACAAGATATGGCCTCACCAGCCAGCATAAATACTACCTAAGAGGTTAATAGTATGTTGAAAGGGTTTGGGCTTTTTTAAATAGTGTACCTCAATATCGAATGCTTATGTCGACTGCATATATATCTATATATATATATAGATATATATGTAGATATATATACACACAAAGTCTCTTTTGGTTAGCACAAGTGGGCAAGTAAAAAGGGAAGAAAAGGGGCTGAGGAGGAGAACACTTACCAGCATGAGTGCGCAAATGACCAGTGAGGGCATCGCGCCTCCGGCAGGCGTAGCTGCAGAAGGGGCATTTGAAGGGTTTTTCACCTGTATGGAGTTTGATGTGTCGTAGCAGGTTTCCCTTCTGGGTGAACGACACACCACACTGGTTGCACTGGAACGGCCTGTCTCCTGTGAGTTTCATGAACAGGAAGTCAATGCCACAATCACTATGGATATTTTTTTGAAAGTATCAACAAACCTAAGAAGACACTGTTTATAACTGGATTTTTTTTTCCTTAATATTTTAAAACATGTCATTCGAATTATTATGACATGGTATTTGACTCTTTGAACAACTTGGTAGTTGCCAATGAACAACAAACAAAATAATTATTCAGTACAACTTCTGACTGTGATAATACATCACATATTTACAACACAAAAACTTGATAACATGAGAGTAGTGTACTTGCGACTCTCTTCTGGAAACTCTTAAGGAATCAAAAATATATTGTAATGAGCATTAACATTAGCATTAAATATACTTTTGGCTGAAGTAAAGTTACAAATACAAGTGCTACAGTGTCTAATACACAAGCACATATATGTATGGACTACTTTAGACTACTTTTAATCTGGAGATGGAAAAGAGAAATATGACCTGTGATAACCAGAGTACTCATGGCGTCAACTGAAACCTGTTGCGGAGGATTCCAAGGATATTTTTTTCCCTTGATAATAATTCCAAGACACGGCTATTGTTTCAACCAAAGAAAAAAGAAAGAAAGACGGCAGTCCACACCCACTGTCGAGGAAAACAAATGGTTTCTGACTCACTCTAAAGGAGTGGAAACTGCTGGTTCCCCTGCTGGTTTAATGGTCGGAACAAGATAAATTCTTTGTGGATCATTCATCTCCAAAGAGTTTTATAAAAGATATGTCAATTATGCTAAAAGGTTTATTTAAAAACCTTTAATGCTATTTGGAAAAACAAAATGAGTACCGTTTGGTCGATTTCCTGATTCGGCTGTCACATTTGGCCCAGATAACCCATCCTGTACGTTGCTTGGGCTGCCACTCATGGATTCCTCTAGTGCTACTCCTTCTTCCCCTGTTTGGCCTATTTCTTCCACTGCTGGACTTCTGTTGTCAGACTCATCCATGATTTCTTCTTCTTGCTTAATTGTCAGTTCTGAAAAAACAAAGCATAGTACAATCCTGATGAGCCTGATGGCACGGCAAATGTTAGGTGTATAGGAGAGTTAAAAATCTACTTTTACTATACAAATGCTGTCCACAGCGATCATGAACCATACCCAAACCCAGGCTGGCTACACAACTCTGTCAAAGGTAAATATGCATTACAATAAATTTGGTCAGATTGAATTGTAATGGATGGAGATGAACTAGGTGAAGGTAAAGGTTGAGCCACAAGGCCGAGTCACTTCTGTAAACTGAATTGGAGTGCAACGGGCTGATTTAATCTGTGTTGGACTTGCTATGTACTGTAGACAAAATGAATATAGGCTAGAGATAGAGAAGATTAGAGGTACAGAATATAAATAAAAATAATTTAAAAAAAATTAAAATTAAAATTAAAAACATTTTTACATACCAACTGATCTCATAGATAGCATTGACTTGACATGGTGACAAGAAGAGACAGAAAGGGAAAAAAAAGAATAAAACAGGCTGGTCTAGTTTCTGGCTGTCCCTGGGAAGAAAGGGAGTGCCAGAGGCCTTCTCTGGCTGCTGCTCACTAGCAGTGGGAGACCGGCTGGATGGCAAAAGCAAAATATTGTGTAATATTATGAGTGCATCTGTGTGTGTGTGTGTGCGTGTGCGCATGCGTGCATGTGCGTGCACCAGTGCGCATGTGCATGTGTGGGTCTGCATGCTTCTGCATGTATGTGTGTCTGAATCTGAGCTGGCGGGAAACTTATCACTTAGTTTCTAGTTATTGGTTACAAGCATTTTGCAATAATTCAACATAAAAATACTAATTTTAATATTTTTCTAAGGTCTTCTACTCTTTATTGAATAAAATCAACAAACTCAACACAGCAAAACATTATCACAAAACATCATCTTCAGTCATTTAAACACAAACGCTATCTTAAATACGCCATGAACAAGCAAAATAAAGTGTTTACATTTATAGTTTATTACATTTGATATCTTTGATCTCTGTACATCTGTCATATGTAGCAATATCAAAGTAATATGCACAGGGGTCAGTTAGCTTTTGTTGTGTAAATTATATTTTTAATTAAAAAAAATCACATGAGCCTGCAGTGCTTTAATAAACATTCAGGCACTACATAAAATCTTGTAAATAGCTTTTGGGGCTTTATATGTTGCACAGGCAAGGAGTATACATTATCCAACTACAACTAAACAATCCTGGCTATCTTATTATGGGATTTTATAAAAATCAATAATATAAGCATATGTGGTTGGATTACTAAAGCCTCCCATTAGACAGCAGTTAGTAATTGTTCTTTTTGACATGAAGTTAATTCTCACAGGCCAATATGAGATATGCATAAATGTGGTCATTGCAAGTGATTGAATCCATGCATATGCATACAAAAACAGCATTGTTCAATCTAATATTGTATGTTTTTCAATGCCACAGTTTGTACAGAAGAACACTTATCCCAATACCCAAGTTGCAATCGAGCCTGTCTTCGACAGCTGTATCCTGGCAACACGGAGCAGACCTGAACGTCCTTGCTATTCAGCTCCTTGCATCTTTACATCTGTCTCTCCAGTGTGGCAGAGTGGAATGCAAAGATTGGTCAGATGAGGATACGCTTGAAACAATCCGCATGACAAAAACAGCTAGGAAAATCATCTAGATACTGTTTTCATAATTACTACGTCTCCGTTCAATTTGTGAGTTATCTGAATTTTCATATAGTGAACAGAAAACCTAGAATCATGATCACTACTGATTGAGAAGGTGACCGAACCCCAAAAAAGAAATTCAGGCATCCCTCAATCTGTCATGTAGTCAGCTAGAGTGTAATCAGCGCATAACACAAATATAACCCCTGTACGGTTTCTGCTTTTGCTCGCAAATTTAAGAAATTTGGCGCCAAAATTTGTACCCCTTTGTGCTTATTGTCAGTATATGATGAGTAGTAACACAACTCTTTTGAAACAAAACCTCAAATGGCAAGCATGTTAAGCAACTGAGACGATGACAACAGCTCTTATTGGTGAAAAGTATTTCCCTGTGAAAACCATCGCACAGCCCACCTCCCTGCATCTCTAAACATGTGGGAGATAAGCTTCCCCTTTTTTTCACTGAGGTCCCTTGTCTTACTTTGTTTCCCCTTTTCTTACTTTGCTGCTTCAGAGTGACACTGCTAGAGATGATCTATAGATATAAGTCAGTAGGCTGAAAGGAACCAAGCAACACTTCAGACCAAGAGCAACATGATATAAGATGCAACAGGGCACATTGTTTGCACGCAAGCTTTTACTGTGTAATCTACAGCCACTTTTGGTAACGCTGCTTTCGTCTTCAGGTATATTTTATTCGATAATTTTCTCACGAAGCGTCTCAATTTTAAGACAAGAATGTCATTCTAGCTTCATGCTTTGGATGGCTTTTCCTCCACTTTTTTACAATTTAAAGTATCCACACAAATCAAATGAACATGTGTTCCATGCAAGATACCAGAAATATTATCACAGGCATCTGTTTTCTGATCTGCTCACATCTGCCATGGTAATTTACCTGGCGCAACCAATTATAAATGTATCAGTTATGTATTCCATAGTTACTGATGGGAAACAGAGTATTCTTTGTTTCCTTGCAAAACTTTTTTTGTGAAAAAATATCTTAACGCATAGCCAACCTGAATCATCTAATGCTGATTTTTAATGATAAAGTGCCTCTGCTCATTCTACAGCTGTTCTTGGAAGACTGCAGAAATGTGTATCTAATAACTGAGCACTCACCACCAGGGGAATTAGGACCCTGAGGAACTGTCTCTCCATTAGGTGCTGATATATCCGCCAACATTCTCGAGTTCTCCTTACCAGGAGAGCATTTGCCGTTACCTGGGAGACACAGAAACACTGCAATCTGCATTGTGCTGTAGAATACGGTACTTGAACAACAAATGCCACTGTTATGTGAAAAATGCCAGTTTTCTTGATTGTGTTAAATATGCAACTAATTGGTTATGTTACATCAAAAGGTTTCAAAGACTGAGGTTAAGATTGAGAAAGTTGCTGTTGAGAAAAATAAATTGTGTTATTGAGGATGACATTAGAGACTGTGACAGCAAAATACCAGACCTTACCGCATGCTTATTTCTGGTCTATGATCTTAATGCAGGTAAATATAGTGACAATAGAACAGAAATAAATATAATGTCTCGATTTGACATACTGAATAAGATGAAGAAGCCTTCTGCTGTTTGCCTTCTCAGATTGAAAATGATTAATTTCTTCATACTCAGATCTATTTCAAGACCTATTTTGAATAGTCATTAAGGTAGTCAACATCCAGAATGCAAAACCAAACTACCCAAAAGTTTTTACCCACCTATGTGATTATAATGTTCAGCAAATGTAGATCAAATTGCATTCTCTCAGCAGTTTGTACAGAACTCGGGCTATGGATAGCCCGGTGTCCACTCAGAGGGAGAGCAAACCAATCCCTTATCCCCTTACAGCATGGCCCCATCAGGGTCACTAGAACAATGCAGTAGCAACAGGCAAACACCCCTTCTGACCCCTTAGGAGCCACAGTGAGAAATACTGTAAAGTATCCATTGTGGTGTCACCACACTATCAGTCCGATTTAAAAAGGATAGCTGCAGCTATGGAATCTCTGTAAAAAATCAAAAGAATATGATAGATGCTTCCTGTGAATTGCTACAATGGTGCACTGTTACAATTTGTTTTTTCTGAATATGTCTAAAGTGACCCCGCATACATGAAAAAAGAAATCTGTGTCAGATCTTTTCTCTCTTTTACAGCTCCTCTTAACTTGACAAGCTTTTTCTGTGGCATTGTTCCATTGTAGTTACAGCCTCACTGAGTGGGCTTACTGGGAGATGCTGTCCAAGACACAATCCCTGGGCCTAGGCTCAGGTTGCACAGGTTGGGGTTGGAGGAAATCTCAGGTGACCAACGTTGGCTATCCCTTGGCAATACTGTCCTGGAGACAGGAGTGGCCCAGATTTGTCATGGAGGATTTTCCATTACTGTAACAGATGCTGTCAGACACCTAACAGTACCATGGTAATCTAGGTAATCCCAAATCTATCTATCTATCTATCTATCTATCTATCTATCTATCTATCTATCTATCTATCTATCTATCTATCCATCTATCTATCTATCTATCTATCTATCTATCTTTAACAGACATATCTAATTCAATCCAGTCGCATGCAGCAATTCAATGTATATGTATATGTTGCATGACAACCTGCTAAAATTTAAACTGAGCATCAGAATAGGAGAAAAAAAGTGATTTAAGTGACTTTGAATACAGTATGTCCAAAAAAAATCCAGCAAATGGCAGTTCTCTGTAAAAAATGTTTTGTTTTATGACAGAGGTCGGAGGACAATGGCCAGACAGCTTGAATCTGAAGGAAACAGTAACTCAAATAACTACTTGTTACAACAAGGTATGCAAAAGAACATCGCTGAGTGCACATCATGTTAAACGTTGAAGCAGATGGGCTACAGTAGAGTAGAAGATGACACTGGCTGCCATTCTGTTAGTTGAGAACAGAAAACGGAGGGCTAGAGTTTAAACAGGCTAACCACAACTCGACAACAAATGATTGGAAAGTTATAGGTTTCAATTTCTGCCTCAGTACTCAGATTTATAGGTTGCGATTTCATTTGAACAACATAAAAGTGTGGCTCCATTCTACCTTATATCAGTGACTCAGGCTGGTGGTGGTGGTGGTGCTGTGATGGTGGGGAATAATTTTTTTAGCACACTTTGGGCCCTTTAGTACCAATTGAGCATTGTTTAAATGCCACTGTCTATCTTGGGATTGTTACTGACCATTTCCATCCATTTATGACCACAGTACATATCACAAAGCTGAAATCATCTCAAACTGGTTTCTTGAGAATGAAAATTGGTTAACTGAACTGAATCCAGTAGAATCCCCTTGAAATATAAATCTATATCAATCGATACATAGATACATAGATATCACAACCAGTGAGTTTGCAGACACAAACTTTTAACGTTTTACTGGCTGATAGATAATACATTTGGGATGGGTAAATAATAGACTCAGACACACACGTATGCTTTCATGGACTGAGGTTTGCGTTGGTGCCCCTGGTTTGCTGAGTCAAATCTGTATGAACAGATTAGGATATCAAACACTTTAATCTTACGGAAGAAAATGTTCTTTGAGTAATATACAAAATTGACATGATTTAATGTGTTGGCAAATGGAAAGGAACAAATGTGTACACATGAAACTTGTAGGTGTAATAATTGCTGACTTCACTAACACACAGTGAGCATAGCTTATAAAGTCCAATCATTGTCTCAGGATAGCAAATGGAATTTCTGCTCTTATAACTTGTTTTAAGTGTCAATATCATACATACTTATTCAATTTGTCAAATATAGGCAATTTCTGAGTTTTATACCAGCCACACATTTGGAAAAAGGAAGATCGGGGACAACAAACGGCTGGAGAAGACAAGCTATTACGAACATCCCAGATTAGTTGGACTCCCACAGAAGTAAAGATGGGGAGGTTTTTCACTTACAAAATCCTACATCGATAGTTGTTGAAAGACCTACAGACTCTGGAGAAATCTGTTCGCGTGCCCAGAGGAAATCATTACATAATCTCAGGATACTACTGAAAACCACTATCACTGTGGAACACACTTTAGCAACATTACTATGCAAAAAAAAGTAAAAAAGTAAAATTTAAAAAAGTGTTGCCCATATAAACAAGATTTAAAAACACTAGCACTTTGTTTTGACCTGAGTTCATATAAGATGGACAGAAATGAGATGGAAAACTGTCTTGTGTGCCGTTCCAAAGCAAAACCATATGGGGATTCATAAGTGCACACGGCATTTCTTACAATGAGTGTTATACACAGTTTTCTGCTTTTAGTTTTCTTTTGCAGCATAACCATAACCAGCATCTTTTGCAGAACAGACCTTGCTTATATCAGCAAATCGATACCACACGACATTCTGTACTTATGACAACAGCGAGGCTTTGAAGTAAAAGAGGCTTGATGCTAAGTTGAGAAGGCTGCAGATAAAAATAAAATAAAAAATAGACAGTTAAAAGATTTTTTAAAACGCAAAACAAAGCATCGAGAAAGTTGCGTCTTTTATCTAGCAAGACTAGAAAGGCATTTTTTTATAGTATGCTAAATGGTTATGAGTAGTGTTAGCAGACGTCGGGATGCAACACAGAGGTAAACATGTCCCTTTCCTAAATTATTTGAAATATGTTGCTGCCATAAAGTTCGAAATTAATCTATGTGTCTTAAAACAAACAAATACATGAGAACAATATAATGTCTCCCTTTTAACATTTTAACGTTTGATACGTTGTCTTTGTATTTTTTTTTAACGTAGGAATTACAAACCACTACACTCAATTTTTTTGTTATATTTGTAAAATAATTTCCCAGAGATTTTGGAAAACGTGTAAACAGAGTGTTTATATGTAACAGGGGGTGCTAAGAATTAGTGTAGTAGGGTAGCTGTGTACATGTGGAAGAGTACTGAGTGAGACTGTGATGATGTGTGACATAAAGGTAGACTACTTGACCTAAATTTTCACCCACAGTACACAGTGCCTCGCCAAACCTAGGAAAAAGTCAAAATATATGGGAGCAATGACAATTTCCATCTAGTATCCTCCAAAGATGTATGCCTTTTGAAAGATATATAATTATAAAAATATTATTTCAGAAGTGACGCACCGACAGGCAGGGAGAAAAAGAGCCTCCATTTCTTTTTTCCACCTCCAAGACTATTCGCCTGTGTGTTCCTGCAAGCGCAAACCCCAAATGAAGACCTAAAAGTCCCCACAGATCATCAACAACATGCTACCTGTTTTGAAATATGCACACCAAAGCGAAATACATGGTGGGGGGGGGGGGGGGGGGGGGGGAAGATATTCAAAGGAGCCTGCCCAAAGGAACCAAGCAAAGGGCATGGAGCAACCAACAAAGCGCATCATCCTACCTGCTGCGTTCAACAAGGATGTTGTAATGGCATATTTTCTCTAATTTAGGGGTGAACAGGAAAGAAGGCAGACACTTGGGGGAAAATCCCTTAAAATTGTGTGTTGTGAATTGCAAAAAAATGTTTTGGGGTTTTCTTTGTCTTTTTTTTTTCATGGTTTAAAAATAAATCAAATAAAAATCAAATAAAAAATTGTTGGATTCACTGTGAAATTCAAAACCACTTTTTATGGTCAAAGTTCTCATAATGATGCAATCATTATTATTCTCATATTCAGTAGAATATAAACATGCATTTGAATATATGCGTTATAGTGTGTCCTTGTTTATAATGTATGGGTCACAGTGTCAATTGAATGTAATAAATAATACATGTAAAGACTTACTAGTACGATAGTCTTCGGAAGTCTCCATTTCTAGGGCTCTGGGAGTGCTGCAACAGAAAATTGAGATATTACTGCAACGTTTACATTATTAATTTGTCTTAATTCTTCATTTGTTTAACGATGAAGACGAACAGATAAAACTAAGTGACACAATGAATGATCATGTAAACCTGCACGATCAAAGCAATGCATGTGCAAACTAACTGCAATTCACAGCAGCTACAAAGCTTTGTGTGTATAACTTCCACTCTACAGAAGTTTATTACAGCAACAATAGGTCTGTGCTGTTTTCTTTTTAGAGAAGTAGTCATGTATATTTAGCAAGTTACCCTGTGAACTATTTTAAATGTGTGAACAGCCGTGTTTTAGTTTCACATTCTACAATGAAAAGAGTGCTTGTCTAAAAAGAAGTTGAATTGTTGATTTCATGGGTCCTTTATTCACCTCTTTCCACGAAATTACATAATCATTGTACAAACGTTATACATTTCACCTATCTTTATTTCAGGTTAAATGAACCCCTCAACTATTTGAGTGAATAACAAAACGGGCAAGGGAAGATGAACCAAAATGTGCACCATGCTGACAGATTAATCACTAAAATTTATTACGTTACAATTTGAACTTTGGTACCAAACAAAGTGACAAAGCAACCAACACAATAAGTGGCATCGCCTCAAAACGAAACCCAAGCATTCAACTTTCTAGAAGGGCAGTGTAAGGCACGCTCTGTTTTTAACTGAGTGTTGGTCAATGGGGCACATATGAATAAGTTGTAATGGGATTTCTTATTTTTATATGTTAGAAACTGAAGTTTGGTTCAATCGTTATCGCTCAACCTCCTTTCATTGCTGAGTTTAAAAATGTTATAATTAAGAAATACAAAGTGACTTTATAATCATTAGAATTTGGAAGCACATAACAACAACAAAAACTCTGATATTATTTAAACGTGTGGAGTGTCACAACAACATTACATTGTATCACTGCACAGCTGCTGGCTTCCTTGAAGAACATACAACTAAGCTCTTAAATAATGAGAAAAGAGGGCAAGACAAACGCAGAATCCACATCCCCTTTTTTCATTTCCCATGATTAGATATTAGATACTCTAATAACAGTTTACTGGTGAAAAGAAGTCAGCCACAATTTTCTCAGTACATACATGAGACCTCCTCTTAGCTACATGGGGGTAATCTTTGGCCATTTTATAGTCACAGCAACTAGGCATAGCCATTTCTTTTAAACAGTGATTATTTATATACGATAAGCCACTAAAATTAAAAGTGAAACGTGAAACTAAAACAAGAAAGTAATGTGGAGTGAATAAAATATATATATATTCACATAATTACCTTCAAGAGTCTCCCTTGTGCAAAAATTAGTTGGTGCTTTCAGTCAAGGACGGAGGAGGGGGTGGCAAGGTGTCTCCACCTCCCTTTAATGAAACAAAGAGTAAAATATGCCTATTTAGTCCAGGGATGTCTCAATACGAAAGAAAGTACTTCTTTTTAGATCGACACGTCTCATTAGCAGTCCACTAAAAGCGAAAAACATCCTCTAATTCACATGAGTCAGCTCAGAAAAAATCATTGGAAAGTTGAGGAGGTGCGCGTCGATAGTGTCCTACAGGTGAATGTCAAAAGCTTCTTCTGCGTGCGTCCCGCACAGTTTTCCACATTAAAAAAAAACGACACTCGCGCTGCCCCACCAAGTTATACACTCACTGGATGTGACTGTAAAGCATTCCATTAGAAGTCGCACGACTCTTGTCTTACCCCGTGGACTTTTGCAGTAGGAACAAAGAAGTGGAAAACTCAACAAGTTGGTAAGGAAAGAAAGAGAAGGATCAAACTGGATCCACCGGTTCCTAAGGAATTAGCCATAGCGACAGGGAGCAGCCAAGCTATTTTCAACAACCAAAGGACTGGAAATCCGCGGGTAGGCAATGATAAAAAGCTACTGTGGAGATGTGACTCAAGGTCAAACCGGTAGAGCTTCATCTGTTTTAACTGCTGCTGCTGCTGCTGCCAACAATAGGAATAATGTGATGTAGTGGCAAACTAAACGGCGGATAAAGTCAACAACACCAATGCGTCCAAACGCTAGCCAAAGTGGGGCACTGTCCCATCAGCGATAATAATAAGTTAAATTATCAGTTTCCTTTTTAAATAAAGGCCTTCCACTTTGAAACTACTTCCTACTTTGTCTGCACGATTACTTTAGGAAGCCAAAAATATTCAAACTAAGAAAAACAGCAAAAAGGCAAGAAAAGTGTATTTTGCAGATCATCAGGCAAGTTAAGTAGTAAGCTAAGGACAGAGTGCATACCTGGCTGGCAACAGCGCATCTCTGGAAATAACCATCAGCTGCAAAACCGTAAAGCGACTTTTTGTTCTTATAGTGGCAACGCGCTGTTTCTCGTGTTAAGTGATTTTTGCTGGCTGTGTTGCCTGGAAGGCTCGGAGCTGACTGACAGCTGCAATTCAACAGGTTATCCGATCACCGCAGTCTACAGCAGAGCCCGTCTGGCTTTCCATTCATCAGACAGACGCTCCTTGTCTGCCTTTGCTGCAGACATGCGCCCCTAGCAGCTCTGAAGCGTCTGTAGCCAATTGATAGCCGAACGAAATTCAATGGCTATATCAAAGCAGTTACCTAGTTCAAACAGGAAACCGATTCACGCACTAAGGTTTCTCCCGCGCGCTCTCTTTTTTTAATTTACCTTAAACACGTAGGAGTTTATATAATCCCATGAACTTGCACACTGATCCAGACTGAATGTCTCGGCTTGAAACGGAATTCATTCTTGTCCGACATCTAACATGCAGCGCGGACTGACAGGTATGGTTCCGCAGCGGCAGCAAAAGCAACAGTTGTTACATCCACCACTGACTTCCTCTTCCATCTCCTCCACAGACAACCAGCACGAGCTGCTATTCTGGGAACTTGGTCTGACACAGAGAAACGGATCACAGAGTGTGGACCCAGTCTGCCTCCCTGCTCGGCAATCGATTAGGTTACAAGGGGCCTCTTATTTCTAAGGCTGTTGCCAGATTATATCCCTGTGACGACAAAACATAAGTGGCATAGTCTATTGGGGGTTACCGTGTACTCAAGGGACATGTAAAGTGACCACATGTTTTTATATATACATACAATTATATATATATATATATATATATATATATATATATATATATATATATATATATATATATATATATATATATATATATATAATAGTCCATCCATCCATTCACTTCCGCTTATCCTTTTCAGGGTCGCGGGGGGCACTGGAGCCTATCCCAGCTGTCATAGGGCGAGAGGCGGGGTACACCCTGGACAGGTCGCCAGTCTGTCGCAGGGCTAACACACAGGGACAGACAACCATTCGCACTCACATTCACTCCTAATGGCAATTTGGATTTTCCAATTAACCTATCCCCACAATATATATATATATATATATATATATATATATATATATATATACACACTGACATAATATTCATCACTAAATTGCTACAATGTTATTGCATTTCTTTGGAAATAAAATTGTGGCAAAAGCATATTTTATAGCATGATCAGTGTTGTCAAGAATGCAAACCATTAGTCTATAACTACTGCTTGTACAAGCTACAGTAACAGTTGATTTTAAGAATTTCAGGTATATATCTTCCAGTATTCATTCTTTTGTGGTAATTGTAATCATTGTTTTAGAAATGTGTTAAAACTTTTGACAATTTTCATTTCAGTGTACTGGGAGACTCCATCACATGACACAGACCTCAGGCATGTTTTGAGGGTGAAACAAAACAAGAAAGAAAGGAAAAAACTACTTTCTAATAGTCTCTTTAAATTCAGTAACTTAAAAGTAAAAATAATTTGTACAGCACCAAAGTACAGTGACAAAATGGGAAAAGTTCAAGAACACAGCATCAAATATACGTCATTTCTTAGAATGATTAATAGAAGAAATTATGATGCAAATTAGGTCATGAGGTCTGGTTTGCAGTGACATCATTGTAAATGTCAGAGTGTGGGAATGATAGTAAAGGGTGCTTTTAAACGTGAAAACAAAACCAAAAATCAAACCAAAAAGAGGTTGAGGGTGCAGGTGAGTTTAACACCATTCACACAGTGGTTCCCCACAGGTGTCACAGTCTAATTAATAATTTGTATTATATTGTCTATATAAACAAACAATATTTTATAATATTTATAAAACATATAGCTTGAAATTTACTGAAAGACAAGCCAAATTATCTGCTAGGTGAGATACACATTAAATGTCTATTGAGTTTAGATTTTGCTACAGAATTTCTGTTTTGGAAACAACGCTTAATATTTGAAATTGCCCTGCTCATATACACCACACAAATCAAAAGTTTCCATAGGTCATGTTTGCAAGCAGCGGCCAGTCATCATGATTGGAAAAAACTAAGTGAAGCAACATAGCTACCAAGCCACAAATCCTCAAAAGTGACAGATGGAAGTTTTGTACTCGTTG